AAGGTCTCCAATCATTGGGTCCTTTTTATGAACTAAATGTAAAGGGGATGCAGTGTGAGAGTGTAAGGTATACATCAGGGGTCGGCAAAAGTAAAACTGTGGCTGTGTTGGTGAGCGCAAGAGAACTGCTCCGCATGAGCAGCCCGTTAGGAAATATAATATATATATAAATATATATTTTGTATATGTACATAAGTATATGTGACGCTGATTAACTAAAAAAGTTTCATAACCCCAAAGAAAAACATCGGGTTAAGTATGCAAGAACAAACGTTAACTCTTCTCCGTTTTGTGTAAAAATTTCATAGATGTACCATTTACCAGTAGCTCACTTGAACAAAATATGTATTAATTTTTTACATATGGACGTTCACTTCCCTGGCTGCGGTAATGCAGGGGACGCAGGAACTCCTGTGACAGAACACCCTAGTACCCACAGGCAAGGCAGTCCAGTGGAGGAAATCATCACTGCAGATAAAGTAGCTTGGGCTCTGATAGCCCTTCCTTCCAATCCTACAAATTTCCGGGTCCAGATGTAATCTTTCCAGCTATGCTACAACGAGCAAGCGCCATACAGTGGGACGTCCCGGTACTAAGTGTGGCCATAAATAGAAGGAATTGAGCTAGAGCAACAAAATTTTGCACACGTCATTTTTAAGACCATATTACACTTGATATCAAAAATCCTCAAAATCGGACAATTGACACGCCCACCCACCGTACAAAATATACGAAAAAAAAAATTATGACAGCATAACACATAAAGATATTTCGACTAAATTGTGTACACATTTTTAAGAGACTTGCTTACTGTGATGCTCTAACCAAATTGGACTATGGGTACTTTAATTTTGATTTAAAATTAGCAATGCATTTAAGAATAATACATTTTTTCATGTCTTTTGTTTACATTTTCTTTTAAAATAAAATAAGTTAGAAGGGAACTCAGGTACATTTAAAATATATTAAAACACCATTATTTCATTATTGCAGTAATAGCGAAATCTCATAATACATAAACTAAATTAAATCTTCATCGCTCAAATCACTACTACAGCCAATTTCTTCTTCTATCGGTACAAGAAACTCCGTTGTGTACAGAAGAACGATTCTTAAAAATTCGTGGGAAAATTTTCCAATACGGAACCCGGCTTTAAAAAAAACAGAAATGAGGGGGTTTAGAGCGGCTTTTTGTGATTGTAAATCTGAAAACCCCACCCTCCGGAGGCTTATAGTTTTTATGAAAATTGAATTTTCAGTTGCAAAAAATGTCAACTTCAACCTCACTTTTTGCTTTGTAAACCGATTGTACTACAATGTCGGTGCTACCACACAACAAAAAATTCCCAAAAAAAGCACTGAAAACAAGAAACAATAAAAACGGGCATTGTAATTAACTTTTTTTTTTTAATTAAATATCGATGAATTGATAAAAAAAAGTGATTCAGTCTAAAATCGAAAGATTTTGTAATAAAAATGTTAACTTAGTTATTTATCGACGAAGTATTGATTTTTATCGGAAAAGCGGCGCAGGCGAAAATTGTTAATAATAAATCGTGCGAAAATGCCCAAAAAAAGCACTGAAAACGAGAAACAATAAAAACGGGCATTGTAATTAACTTCTTTTTTTTTAATTAAATATCGATGTATTGATAAAAAAAGTGATTCAGTCTAAAATCGAGAGATTTTGTAATAAAAATGTTAACTTAGTTATTTATTGAAGTATTGGTTTTTATGGGAAAAGCGGCGCAGGCGAAAATTTTTAATAATAAATCGTGCGAAAATGCCCAAAAGAAGCACTGAAAACGAGAAACAATAAAAACGGGCATTGTAATTAACTTCTTTTTTTTTAATTAAATATCGATTTATTGATAAAAAAAAGTGATTCAGTCTAAAATCGAGAGATTTTGTAATAAAAATGTTAACTTAGTTATTTATCGAAGTATTGATTTTTATGGGAAAAGTGGCGCAGGCGAAAATAGTTAATAATAAATCGTGCGAAAATGCCCAAAAAAGCACTGAAAACGAGAAACAATAAAAACGGGCATTGTAAATAACTTTTTTTTAAATTAAATATCGTTTTATTGATAAAAAAGTGATTCAGTCTAAAATCGAGAGATTTTGTAATAAAAATGTTAACTTAGTTATTTATCGAAGTATTGATTTTTATGGGAAAAGCGTCGCAGGCGAAAATTGTTAATAATAAATCTTGCGAAAATGCCCAAAAAAGCACTGAAAACGAGAAACAATAAAAACGGGCATTGTAATTAACTTTTTTTTTTTATTAAATATCGATTTATTGATAAAACAAAGTGATTCAGTCTACTGTGCATATACAAAATATTTTATATTTCCTAACGGGCTGCTCATGTGGAGCAGTTCTCTTGCGCTCACCAACACAGTTTTACTTTTGCCGACCCCTGATGTATACCTTACACTCTCACATGACACCCCCTTTACATTTAGTTCATAAAAAGGACCCAATGATTGGAGACCTT